GGGCGGGCTGGGGGTGACAGGCCTGGGGGGGTCGTGGGTGCGGGGCACAGGTTGGAAGGGGGGCTGACATGATGGGGGACCAGGCTGGACAGGGGGGTTGTGAGTAGTCTGGGGCAGCTGGAAGGGGTACCCCCCCGAGGTTGCAAGTCCTTCCCATGGGGGGGAGGGTCCTGATCCCCCCCAGGTATATAGGGATGGGGGCAGGCCAGCCCCTGCAACTGACCTTAACTGACCTCCTCTCTTATCCCCCATCCCCTTTAATCGCTTCATCCAGGGCGTGACTATGTAACGCAGACAGCCCCAGCAGCCAAGCCTGGGGCCAGCACAGGCCGCATCGTGGCCGTCATCGGCGCTGTGGTGGATGTGCAGTTTGATGAAGCGCTGCCTCCCATCCTCAATGCCCTGGAGGTGCAGGGCAGGGACACCCGGCTGGTGCTGGAGGTGGCGCAGCACCTGGGTGAGCACGCGTGGGCCCTGTGCACGTCCTGTTCCCCACCCCTAGTCTGTGTGTGCATATCCCCTAGAGTCATGCAGCATCTGTATCTGTGTGATCTGGGGTCTGCGCGCATGTGTGGCCTGGGGCCTGTGTCCCCCGTGGGGCAGGGAGGCAGCTCCTTCTAGGATGATGGATCATTGTGACTTTCGTTCTTCTGAGCTCGCTGAAGCCACCTCAGTGATCTGAGAAGGAGGCTTAAAATGGCTGCTAGCCCCAGGCGGTGGGGAGGGGGGGGCCTTGCTTGGTCCTGGCTTGGGGAGGTGCACTGGTGCTGTGCACAGGAATCTTCTTCCCGACTTGCTGTGTAAGCCCTTTGCTATTCTTGTACTAAGCCTGATGCCGCATGCTTTGCTTCAGCTGGGGAGACTGAGGCCTGATGAGGCCACATGACCTGCCGACAGTCGCATGAGGAGTCTGGGTTCAAACTGGGGGTCTCAAGTTGATGCCCGTTTTCAGCTGGACTGCCCTATGGGGGGGGGGGGGACATGGTGCTGACCCCTATGTCCTGACCCCTTGCTGCCTCCCTGCCAGGTGAAAACACAGTTCGCACCATTGCTATGGATGGTACTGAGGGGCTGGTGAGGGGCCAGAAGGTGCTGGACTCAGGCACCCCCATCCGGATCCCTGTGGGCCCTGAGACCCTAGGTAGGATCATGAATGTCATCGGAGAGCCTATCGACGAGAGAGGCCCCATCACCACCAAGCAGTGAGTGTGGCCTGGCTCCGGGCCAGGACTTGTGGCCTGTGGTGCATGCGGTGGGCTCGGGGCAGCCCAGGGGCTCATCATGCAGCAGCCCAGAGGCTTTCTCCTAATGCCTTGCTTTTAACAGCAGCTTGGAAGAGCTGGGTGGGGGCCCAGAGGTGGGTGTCCAATATTTGGTGGGGGGGGGGGGGTTGAAGGGTTGCTGCTCCTCTGAGCCCTGCGGGGGGCACTGACCCTTGGAGCACCACTGGGCACCACTCACCCTGGCTGTGGACTTGCTCCCTGCTCCCCCACATCACAGGTCTGCTGCCATCCATGCTGAAGCCCCTGAATTTGTGGAGATGAGCGTGGAGCAGGAGATCCTGGTCACAGGCATCAAGGTTGTGGACCTGCTGGCCCCATATGCCAAGGGGGGTAAAATTGGTACGTTCAGATGCCTGGAGCAGGGCAGCGTGGTGGTGGAAGGAGAGTGGGGAAGCTTTTGTAGGGCTGGGCCTGGCTCCAGCAATAGGGTTCTGTGGGGTTTGACCCCAGGCTCTGGCTTCAGACCTGGGGGAACATCCTGCCAGATTCCTCCCCTGATGAGCATCCTTCTGACTTTCGTTCTTCTGAGTCTGCTGAAGTGGCTGTTGAAAAACTGAGGAGGAAAAGAGGCTGGGGCGGGTGGAGGTGTTGAAGGGGCAACATCAAGCTGACGCGGAGCTCCTGCTGCCCTCCAGGCTTGTTTGGTGGTGCTGGGGTGGGCAAGACTGTGCTCATCATGGAGCTGATCAACAACGTGGCCAAGGCACACGGAGGCTACTCAGTATTTGCTGGCGTCGGGGAGCGGACCCGCGAGGGCAACGACCTCTACCACGAGATGATTGAGTCCGGCGTCATCAACCTCAAAGACACCACCTCCAAGGTGAGCATCCGTGTTTGCCTTGCGGGTAGTGCCATCCTCCCTGTCTACACAGCCTCAGGTGCCAGCCCTGTGCTGGGGGCTTGGTCTCGCCACCTCCCCCTGTGCCCTGCAGGTTGCGCTGGTCTACGGCCAGATGAACGAGCCCCCAGGTGCCCGCGCCAGAGTGGCTTTGACCGGCTTGACTGTGGCTGAGTACTTCCGGGACCAGGAGGGCCAAGATGTGCTGCTCTTCATTGACAACATCTTCCGCTTCACACAGGCTGGCTCTGAGGTAGGGGACAGGGTCTCAGGCTGCTGGTCCTGCTGCCACCATCTGCCTGGGGGCTGAGCAGGCACCAAGGCACGAGTTGCCCACCTTTCTCACTTTGCAGGTGTCTGCGCTGCTGGGCAGGATCCCCTCTGCTGTGGGCTATCAGCCCACCCTGGCCACTGACATGGGCACAATGCAAGAGAGAATCACCACCACCCGCAAGGGCTCCATCACCTCTGTGCAGGTAATGGGCTCTCAGCCAGGCTCTGGGTGGCACCTGTCCTGGGGGGGTGGGCTGCCCACACTCAGCCATGTACCTCCTTCTGTTGCCCAGGCGATCTACGTGCCAGCTGATGATCTGACTGACCCCGCGCCTGCCACCACCTTTGCCCACTTGGATGCCACAACCGTGTTGTCTCGTGCCATCGCAGAGCTGGGCATCTACCCGGCTGTGGACCCACTGGACTCCACATCCCGCATCATGGACCCCAACATCGTGGGGCACGAACACTATGATGTGGCTCGTGGTGTGCAAAAGATTCTCCAGGTAGGTGAGGGGCCCTGGACTCTGAGCATCCCTGGGCTGTAGGGTGCCCTCTTTCATCCTGCCCCCATAGCTACTGATGGGGTAGCCTATGGGCAGGGGGCATAGCATTCCCCCC